CAGTGATTTCACGAGGATCCCTGCATTCCTTTGATTCTGCTCGGAGTTTCCAACTCCTTAGACTTGACGAACCCGACTATCCCGAATATTAACGTTGTAGCCCATCCGGGATACAACAATACTTTGGAGCGATATTAAAACGCAAATACAGTTAATCTTATTTGATTCGCCTACTAAATTGATTATTTGTAATGGTCTAATAAAATATCCTCCTAAGGACCTTCATCCCGTTATAATCGGAGAAATGCATTGTTCTCCAACCGAAGGACAGGAATCACTAAAACTTATCGAATCTCATCGAATAAAACATAATTATTATTGGGAAAATTTAAAATCCGACATTCAACGTCACGATACATTCAGCAATGTCTATAATGCCAATTGAAAAAATTAGTCCGCGATCTCGACATAATTGTTTCCTTAAAACACTCCAACATTTCAAATTGGCAAGCCGCCGATTAACTCGGTGAAGCTGCCTCCCCCGATTCCACAACATTCCAACCTGGCAAGCCGCCGATTGATTCGGTGAAGCTGTCTTATCACAATTCCTCAATTTTTTTTATTCACTCTCACCTCACACTCTCTCATCTAACTCTTATATTTACATAGTGAACCAAAAAACGAAAGCCATCCCGAACAAGCAAACGAAACGGGCATTGCGACACCGTCGGGAGAAGCTAAATAAACGGATTCGTCGCGAAACCGGTCACGCCGAGAACTCGCGGAGTGGTTAATCGACATAGAACCGACTCTCCAACATCTCTTTACAACAATACCCCACCGCCCTCCGCTCCGCGGCAGATTTCGAGAAACAATGTACTCCAGAGAACTTCGATGTGGAGAAGTTCTACAATCTCGTCCGTCAATTTCTCCGCTCTCCCACCCATCCACCTCCTGGAACCTTTTTCATTAAAAGAAAATTTAACTCCGACAGCCAGTTTTGGGATCAAATCTCAAGACACCAGTTAGACACAAGTTAACGATACCATCCCTATGTACATTTCCCGTGCCCGTACCCTCTTCCCTACCTTGTTCCAGTAAAGGCTTTCCGCAACGCTCACCCTAATCCCCTGCCACACCTGCAACCCGATCCCATCGATATGCTCGCGATCACCAATTTTTTGCCCCAATTGGAACAATTGGATATATAAATACCAGATTTTTTTTGTTTTGTTATTTATTAGATGTACAAAAAAGTTCTGAGTTTTTTTTGTAAAATTCAATCTTTATTCAAAAACAAACAAAAAAATATTAATCAGCGAAATATTCCCCGTTGCATCAACGACCTTTTGCCATCTTTCGGGTAGCTTGTGAATTCCTTGACGATAGAAGCTCACCGACTTCGAAGCGATAAAGTCATCAATGCATTTTCGTATCTCTTCAAATCTCACGAAATGTGTATCAGCCAAATAATGCTGCAGCGACCGGAATAGGTAGTAATCGGAAGGCGCCATATCTGAGCTATACGCCGCGTGCAGGAGAAGTTCCCAGCCTAACGCAAAGATATGGTCCTGAGTCACTTTCGCAACATGTGGTCGAGCATTGTCATGAAGCAAGCAAGATCACTTTACGACGTCCTTGGCCAATAAATCTCTTTTCTTCTAATGCATCGCTCAAATTGGTCAATTGTTGTTGGTAGTCGTGATTGTTTTACCCGATTGTAACAACTCGTAACACAACACACCTTTCCAATCTCACCAGATACAGAGCAAAACTTTCTTGGGGTGGATATTGGGCTTTGGCGTCGATGTCGAAGGTTGACCAGGTCAACCCATGATTTTCTATGTTTAGAGTTATCATAAAGAATCCACTTTTCATCGCCTGTAATGATTTTGTGCAGAAAATCTTTTTTCCGGAACTTTGAAAGCAAAGTGAGTGCAGTGTCACACCGACGATTTTTGTTGTATTCGGACAATTCATGCGAAACCCATCTCCTTTCCTTCTGAACCTTTCCCATCGTATGTAAACGTACGGAAATGGTTTGCTGCGTAACGCCAAGCTGTTCTGCAAGCTCCTTTTCAATTTGCGCAAAGTTTATATCCAGCAGTGCTTGCAATTCGTCCGTTTCAATCTTTTGAGGGCGTTCAGCACGCGGTTCATCTTCAAGACTGAAATCTTCTTGGCGAAATTTTTGATACCATCTTTTACAAGCATGACTTACAGCGTTTTCTCCATATGCAGCACAAATCATTGCAGTGGCTTCAGCAACATTTTTTTTCAGATGAAACACGAAGTAGATGGAAAATCGAATATACTCTTTTGTTATTGCCATCGTGAACACTACTGATTTTTGAGGTTATGTGCATCAAACGCCAAACCGTATGGCATTTTAGAAAGCCAAATGTCAACGCTTTAAAACCGCAAAAGGGCGGGAAGAAATATAAAATTTAAATTGTTATTTCGGTTGTACGAAATTTAAAGCTCAGAACTTTTTTGTACACCTAATATATATATATTTTTTATTTTATTGCATTTTATATGTTTGACTATAAAGTCTTTCATTCTTTACTCTTCATCAACATTTATTGTTTTCGATCATATTATTATATTAATCCGCTATATGTTTCGAATTCATGCGCAATATATATTTCCGGACATCTTAAGAGAAAGAAGTATCAAAAAGTACGTTTGTTTAATCTCTCGCGGACACTGTTTTTTATGTAGAAACTATAGCAATTGCCAGTCCATATCTATAAGGTCTATGGTACGGATCAAATTTAATATGCTATTTCCATCGAAAGATTTGTGGATCGAAGCGAGATTGAAATGAACGCAATTTGTCGCGTTTCCATCGACTCAAATCTGGTTTACGTCATATTAAGCCAGCGGCACACGATGCTTTTTTTCCTGCTGATTTGCTAGCTGGATTTGCGTGCTCGTTATCTCTTGTCTCTGATTGGTATATTCTTTTGGATCTAAAAAAATGTACCAATCGAAGACAAGAGTTCAACAAGCACGCGATCCAGCTAGCAAATTAGCAAGAAAAAAAGCATCATGTGTCGCTGGTTTTAGAAGTAAATTAAGACATCGATGAAAACTAGACCGGTATGACAGATTTCCTAACCAAAAAAGTGATCAACTTTAACATTTAATATCTCGGTTCGCGAGGCAGAGCGCCGCGTTTTTTTGTCAGATTCTTTTATTTTGAGTGAAATCGCGTCGATTAAGTCCGATTTTGTCAAAATCGGAGGTGAAGACCGTATTCTAAATAATTACCGTACGGTACCGTGCTTTATAACAATACGTTATTTCAGAATTAAATTATTATTTGTGTATTTTTTTAGTCGATTTGCTAAAATGAAATGGCGGAAGTTCAATCATAGCAAAAACTTTCAATCATAGCAAAAAAGTGGACGATATCAAAATCAAATTTATAAGAAGACTGCACAGTAAATGTATGTATAAGTAGCTTGCGTTATTTTCATATACATTTATGCGAAGAATGTCTTATAACGACCCAAAATAATTTTACAATTTTGGGTCGTTAGAGATTCATATTTCGAATTTTCGATTATTACACATAATTTCATTAGTATCATTTAATTTATACAATTGCTTAGTCAAGAAAATATCCACCTATTTATGATTTTATGGAATCCTGGAAGTTAGTCCTAACTGAATGCAACAAAGAATTGATTTATTCTACAATATTCATTTTATAAGAATATAATTAAGATATAATATCTAGATTTATCAAATATATAACATGAACTTAGAAGCTTTTATAATGATGTTGAAATAATGTATCATTGATTTCTGTGAGATTAATTGCTTTACAAGCTGCATCTACTGCTTGTGTCATAGCAGGTGTACCACAACTAAAAACACCAATCTTGCTTGTCTAGAACAAGAATCGATTCAAATATATATTATATAATACAAATAGATTAAACTATAGTGCTAGATGTAATAAGACAGATCAAAAGAAATTATAGCCAATAGGATCAATATCTTCTGTTGACGATAATGATGATGAGTAGTAAAGTATACTTACAGTAGGATGTAATTTTTTTAAAGATAGAAAAAATTGTGAAAATTTGGGTCGTCCAAAATGTGTCACTGCCTTCAAACCGGTAAACAGAGATTTGTTTGAAATCTTTTGAAAATGACGTTCGCAGATATACTGAAGATAAATGAATTAATCATATTATTTATAATAAAATCAAGAAAATAATAATGATCAAATTTATCAATTTAGGTATCTTACTAAAAGTATCGTACGTAGATCAAATTTTTGATAGAATTGAGTAACAAAAATATGAAAAGATACTGTATTGTTGATATCTGCTTTTTCAAGCTCTCTCAATATATCAACCATCCACTCAAATTGTTTCTGCGTTCTTGTTATCCAAAGAAAGTATACCTATGGAATAATTACATATTCCTTTTGTTATAGTAATTTTATCATCGTTAGTGATATTATTACCTTCTTGCAACCAAAGTTTAAATTGCAATTTGATTTAAAAACGATATCTTTGAGTATTGACGCGAACGGTGTGACACCTATACCACCACCGACCATAATTGCCACTTCATATTTATCCCAATCTTGATGACCTTCTCCATATGGACCATCCATGTGAATCTGTCAAGATAAAAGGACATTATAAAAATAGAGAGTCGATTGTCGATTTTGAAAATTACAAAAATGAAAAAACTTTACTAATTTTCAACGTATGAAATTTCAAATACTGAATTTTCTCATTTTTGTAATTTTTACTTGTTTTTACTTGTTTCAAAATATACAATTGACCTTTAATCAAGGTATTCAAACTTTATTACGTCAGTAAATTATTATCTATAAATGTACAAATAAACAAATGTAAATTAATAGTAATATACGACATAAGAATTATTACTATTGGTAGGCTTTTATTTGACATTATGCATTGCTCTAGTTTCTCCCTGATATTTGTGGTCCATGGTCCAACCGCTCGTATGTGTATACTTAAACTTGTTTCGTGTGGTGCCGAAGATAAAGTAAATGGATGATACTCATTTGTTTGTAACACTGGACATGCTATTCTAATCCACTGACCAGATTTGTATTGAAAATTTAAAGGTTTGGGAAATTTTACACACGTTACACCTAGGATATATGAATATATATATATATATATATATATATATGTATATATAATGTGTGTGTGTGTGTGTGTGTGTGTGTGTGTGTGTGTGTGTGTGTGTGTGTGTGTGTGTGTGTGTAGTAGATACTAGATAAGATGTAATTCGAATTGTATGAAAATTAAAATAGCGATATTGTTGAACAGGAATACCTGATGGTAAAATCTCTGCTTTCAGTATTGGTATTTCTATTGTTGTTCTAGTTACAGTTACAACTTTATCAAGAATAAATAAAATGGCTGGTCCCAAGAAGAAATAGTGAAAATATGGTTCCTATCAAATGAATGAAATGATTCTTAGTTACATATAGATGTAATATCACTTTAATTATATAATACAATTAAATTTCATTTAAAAAATATTAATTACTTGCACTAATCTTCCACTGCCATGTAAAACCATCAGTATATAAAAAACTGGATATAAAGAGTGTAGGAGAGAAAACCAGTTGTAGAATGATCTACGTACCATCGGCAACGAGCACATAAATATTAATCCAGTCAAAATAGTTAAGAATATTCCTGTTATACCTGTCATTGTACTCCAACACCAATAATGGAATTTAGGAAGTTCATGCGTTCTAGGTACCACAACAATCATGTAACGATATATATTACGCGCAAACGACCGTGCAGTAATAAAGTGCATGATTAATTAGAAAAGCAAAATAAACTTACGCGTGAAAGTAATTACGGAACAAACACGTCAGATCATCGGCAGTTTGCGTAGATATGTGATAAAAGTTAAAGCCATGTCCAATTATATGTAATACTAAAAATATTAAAAAATAACGTGAACAAAATTAATTATACAGAGATATGAATATAAAAGTTTAAATATATATATATATATAGAAATATCGTATTCTTACTAGTAAACATTAATGCCCAATAAGCGACATATTTATGCATTTCGATCGCTGAATCGAAAGGAATGTAAAATTGCAGAATGGTGGTTCTCAGAATGGTGATGGTATTATGACACATCATTATTAATAATGTAGAATAAGTAAACATCATAGCCGACGCTGCACCTCTTGTTATAGTTAAGCCGTAGCCTAATATTCGCCTCAAGCCGGTATGTTCTCGTTCTATAGAATAATCTATGAAAAGTATTGTTTATTATTGCAAAGAATTGCTCAAGAATTCAAGTTAGAGATTCATCGTAAAAAACATATTCTTTAATGGACATACAGTACACTCGCTCTGCGAAAATTCCAAGTAGGAACAATGTGTATAAACACGTCCAGAATATTTGCAATCGTTTGTTAGCAAGATATTTCATTATAGGATACCAATAATCATCCGAATATTTCTTCATTTCTTCGACAATTTTTTCATCTTTATCGATAATTTCGCTATTGTTTTTCTCTTTTTTCTGTTCGCTTTCGACTTTTCCTTCAATTCTGGATTGTAATTCGTCCGGATCGGCATACAGGCTCTCTACCGTTTTCTGTACTTCACCAATAAACGTTGATCTAACTGTTTTTACACCTGCGTGAAGTTTCCTGCTACCTTTCCCATCGGTAGATACGTTGAATTCCAACTCTGCATAATTAAATTTATCATTAAAGTCGCTCAGTATCTGCTGAAAGTCTTGCAAATTTATGGTCTCTTTATTCGCCAAGTCAGCGTGATACATCATGGATTGTACCAAAGCTTCCAGCTCATCATCCATCACATCAGCATTGACAGTCTCCATAAATGATCTAAAAGTTGAATGTGAACCATATACAAGACGTGTGTAGAAACAGTGTTACACAATTAGGTCATTCACAAATGTACCTTAACATATTTGAGAACTCTTCTCTCTTTAATCTTCCTGTACCATTGATATCATACATATCAAACATCAGTTTCATCTTTTCTTCAGCAGAGCCCTTAAGGAATATTACCAGCATATCGACAAATTCCCGAAATGATATGAAGCCATTTTTATCCTTGTCCACTAGATAGAATATCTGCAAATTGAATATTTTAAAATCTTTTTTAGATATACATCCTATCAGATTTTGCACGCGCGTGTTACTTGGTGTCCAATGAAACCTTTTTTACAAATTCAGCGTCCGGTCTCATACTTAGAGCTTCTGCAAATTCTATGATCGTCAACTCGGTGTGAATCACTTCTCGTGCTACTGTCGAATCTATTTGTAAAATTTCTTCTTCCGTATGTGCGATATGAAATGCCTAAAACATTCATCATAATGAACACGCGCGCGCGCGCGCGCGTGATGTCGATATTATTTAAATATTGTATATAAAAGAGAAAAAGAAAAATATACCTGTGCGAATACAACGCGGAAAAACATTTCCAACTTTTTCTGACGGTGTTTCTTGGTTATTGCTTGCTTGAGTAACGCTGCATGCGTGCAATTAGTCGTCATTTGTATCGAACATGCATTTCCAGTCATTGAAATTTCTGAGATAAATTTCTCGAATGCTTTTATAAATGCGCTTCTCAAAAAACCAGAATCAAATTTCAAAACTAAATCGTAACTATGATACACACGTATTAATATATAATGGCTATCAGACGCACAATAAATCTATAAAGAAAAAAAAGAAACGCTAACGGAAGTTGATATTATCGAAGGAGAGATAAAAAATAAAATACCATGATGTTGCTATTTGGCAAAAATCCATCGCACGTATTAAGTGTCCCAATTGATTTTTTACCTCCAATTGCTTCTTCTTTACATTTGGCACTAATATTACGCGTCTCAGTGAAGCTTTTCGTTCTTGCCATTCGCTAGCTATTTGTGAAGCGATATCTCCATTAATATAATGAAGATATAAAATATGTGATATGTGCTTGAAAGCTTACCAGTATGTATAACATCTATAATATCACTATGATCGATTTTCCTAATGTTTTCCTCTGCTGATT